GTCCTAAACGAGCTACCCTCCCACCCACACTTGGAACCTGATTCCACAAATGGGGCCTGTTGGTGGGTGCCATGTTGGTGAGCGTATCATCCAAAAATATACTCAAAGGTCACCCAAAAGTAACATTTCAGGGTCTGACTTTGATGACGGTTCAAACAACTCGAGGGGATCGCGGGGGGAGCAAATGTGAGGGCAGGGAATCGGGTGCCCTGTCAGTTTCCATTAAAAACAACTTGACAGCGTTGCGAGCATGTGATTTCGGAGGCTTTGCGCGCACCCAGTTGACAGGGAGCCGCAGGGCTGTCTTTAGATGGCGGACCCCCCCAAAGCAGGTTGTTTCCCTTTCGTTTGCCTTTCATACCACCAAAAAGGGTAGAACCACATCCATATCTGTTTTCGACCTTGAACCACTGAGGCAGGTGGTTTGGAGTTTAGACGGGTATCGGTACAGGTCCCTGGACCAGCTGTCCTTTTCCCAGCCCTGACTGCTAGGGCAAAGTGTCTGGACAGTTTATCTTACCATGTATTGCAAATAAGGTCCCCACAAGGAGAACCAATTCTTCCACAATTGGGTGCTTTGGACTCCTGTTTCCCGAAACGAGTGCCCATGACCGCGTGCTTTGGTTCCCATCCTCCAGGGGATGCTTGAGCATCGAGCCTGGCGTCACGGGGGTCCCGAAGCAGGGCCTCGCCCCGGACCAGGGATGTGTTTTGAGGGTACCTCGTTGGGCTTGAGGAGAAGCAAAGCGAAATCTCCGCTTCCCGGGGGGGGAGAGCGGGGGCAGAAGTCTTGTTTCATTCCTACGTGTGGATGATTCTGTCTTCCCAATTGCCAGGAGCGGTGAATGGGGGTTGACACGAGCCGAAAGAAACGGAAAGCAACCCAGCAACCTTGTCTTCTTGATTCTTCAGTATGAGTAAGTGTACTGTACTGGGCGTGCCCCAACCCGCTCGAAACAAATCCAGGGCCCGAAAGCATAGCATGTTGAACAAACTCATCATGGAGCCTCAGAGTTGGTGAATCTGCAGCAAGACACTTGATGCCCAGCCAAAGCCGCGAGCTATGTTCAGCGGCGATGACAGGCTCCTCAGCGGGCTCCGTCGCCAGGAGCCATTCGGAGCTCCCAGTTTCTCTCAAAGTGAACCCGTCGCGGTGGTGGAAATAACCCTGTGATATCGAAGTGGTTCTCATGACTACCTCACTTCTGGGATTCCCTTGGCTCGCAGTTTCTGTAACCCCCAATGCATTCGTTACAAAAAGTAGCATACATTAAATTACAACCAGAAAAGAAAACAACTCAAAGAAGTAATGACAATGCACGCACCAAACACGAATTGATTGCAACAACAAACCACTTTTGTTATATTACATCAACACCATTCCTTCCAATCGCAAACGACTCCCCCCAGTCTTCCCACCGCTTCGCGGTGCCCGGCTCCCTTTGGGCCTGCTGGGCTCTTGCCCTTGCGCTTTGGCTTGGCGTTGAGCTGCACCCGGGCCTCCATTCACCAAGCAAGCTGCCAAGCGATTTGGCCGAGATTGTCCTGGTGCCAAAAGGGGATGTCCACTGTTGACAAAAAGGATTTGAAAAAACAAAGTCAGTCCCTTCTAAGTCGATTGAATAATATGTTGAAACCCACTTCCCTTCCCGCGTGTCTTCCAAAAAGGATTCGAAGCGATGCTAAACAGAGGGGTTCCTCCATTTTCCCTCAATTGAGTCCGAACCAAAGCTTTGAGGCCACATTCACACCGGCTGCAGCTGCACCCTGCGGCTCGCAAACCCTTGACCTTCTTTTTTACAGCCAGCGCCCGCGTGATTTCCGTAATCATCCTGTTTCTCTTGAGCCCCTTTCTCTATGGAGAGTCCTTCCGTGATTAGAGAGGCACCTTTGTCACTTGACACCATGTTGTTTTTCCTGCGTCAAAAAGGCAAGCTCAGCCCGAAACAGGTATGTATCGAAACAGGTATTGAGACCCGCAAAATGGCAGTCGGTAATCCTTGTGGTTTCCCGTCAAAAGGACCTTTCGCCGCCCGAACCAGACCTTTCGCCGCCGAGTTGCTTGGCTAGCGACCGCGCTGAGTCCAGCCCAAAGGCGCCAAGCCGTCCTGCGGATTTTCAAATGTGGCTCAAAATTGAACAGCAGGGGCAAACCGCAGGTTGTGGTCCATGTTTCCACTTGCCAGGGTTCCATTTTGGTACCGGTTTTTTGAGCCACAGCCAAATCGAGATTCCCAACAACAAAATGGAAGTGAGGAAGTGAAAAGCCCTTATTTGTTTGGGGGCGGGTTGCTTTGGGGGGGAGGGTACCCTATCACTTCCTGAGGAAGAAGTAACTAACAAAAAAACTAAACATCGCTGGCCAAGGGTAGAAATCAGAGATGAAACATTGCTATTCGCACCAAAGTCCAAAGTCCAAGACAATACAATTCTACCTAGAGCACTCGGAAACTGGACCCTTCTCCCGAACATAACATGTTAGTTAGCCTGCAAACCCGAGGTGCACATGAAGCATCTATCATTCCTGAATGCAAATGCTTTTTGCCCACAAACATGGGCAGCATACAATATTTGATTCTGTTTTACCAAACCATGCCGTCCAACGCTTTTTCGCAAACCCGGTATGCTTGTTCGGGTAGCGTACTTACTTGTATTTCGTGCCGGGCGGAACATTTGTCTAGTTAGAACATCACATAGGAGTCCTGTACGGGCGCATGCTGGATCCGGTAACAGTCCTCTGAACGGCAGGAACTCAGGACTCACAATCCCCTGGTTGATTCCTCGTGTCCCATTTTAGAGGGAAACCTTCAACTTGGGGCACGCAAACACACACACACACACACACTCTTGAATCCTCTCTGCATACGGATTGGAAGTGTGGGAAAACTAAGGACGTTCTCGCGCTAGATGTTTCCCATCACACAAGCAAATCAACCAACCGACTTGAAGGGGATCCTGCTTCTGGCATATGCCCCTGCTAGTTGATTGGATGCGATCACCGCATCCCTCTTCTCCTCGCAGTCATTCTCAATCCATCATGTTTGGGGTTGCGGGGGCTCAAGCAACAGCAAGAGTCTGGTATGGAATCACAGCAGTAGCAGCAGATGAATGCGAGATGACACGGACGCCCAAGAAGGGAGAGGGCACGTCAACACGCGAACCCCCATGAAGTCAGTTGGGAACTGCTGTTTTTGACATGTGATTCGTGTGTCCGGCCTGTGAATCGTTTGCCAGTAGGCAAAAGACAAAGCAGCCTTGCAATGCTTGGATGCCATCAAAAGGCCACAATCTCAGGTTCGAGTGTCCTTTTGTGCCATGAGGGGGTCAAACAGGGTGAAACCAGTGCCCAGCTGCTGGACAATCAAACCATCAACCAAAAGTGATACGAGTGTTGCACTTAGAATGTTCTCACGACTCCCTCCAAAGGAGGAGCGCCTTGGCTGAACTTTACTGGCAAATCCCCTCAATACGTGCCTGTCCAAAGGCGACCAAAAGGCACATGGAAGGATCCTTCAGCCGATATTCTGCACTGAAACACACCAGACTCCAAGCATCCTCTCCACAACGAGTTGAGCCCCATGAGATTCACACTGAGTGCCGCTTCCCGTGGACACTGAAAACCGAAAGCCAAGGCCATCTGGCAAGGACAAGTTTGCTGATGGCTGGTGGTGGGCCCCAAATGAAAGTGCCACATTGAGCTCCCGCTCCCCGCTTCTTTGTGGTCCCAAGAAACGTCCTTTCCTGTGGCGCCAGCGAAAATCGGAAACCACCCCCTCGCCGACGTCCGGTGCCCCACTTCCCCTGTGCCTCGCACGAGCGGGTCGGCCGGGCTGACGCACCAGCGGCCGCGCAATCGCCCGGATGGCCCGCACATGGATACCGCCGGAAAAGCTCGCGGGCAGTTGCATGGGCACCGAAACTTCGCCAAACCCTTGTCAAGTGTTTTCAAAAGAATTGGCCCCACAAATGGCTGTGGCTCAAAATTCAACAGCTGGGTTACGCAGGTTTTAGTCTTTGGTTCCATTTACCCAGGTGCCATTTTGGTACATATATTTGAGCCACAGCCAAATGTGTTTCTCCAAGTAATCGGTACATGGTTGTTTCCTTTTGGCTTCCTGTACCAAAAGGGGGTCCGCCATGAGAATCTGAGAAACTCCCTTTGGAGGGACAATCCGATATTCGGTTTTGGGGCTCAGGTAAGCCGTGACTCCCATCTGCAAACCATAGAAAGTCATGGCTAAAGGCGTTGAGGAATTGGAACACAAAAAGCAGAGGCTGTGAACACATGCAGGGTTCTTGCCTGGCAAGAGCCGTGGCTGTGGTGTCCTGACATGTATCTGCTTTGCCCATTCTGCTCGCACCAGTGCAGCATACAAAAAGCAAGAAGACGAGGCCGCCCTTCTGCACCTAATGCAGTTCCGACCCCCACCCACCCCCAGCTTCCCCCAGCCGGGTTGAAGAGAAACCAAGCTGAGCTAGTGGACAAGGCGCCTTTTGGCACCTATGGGAAAGAACCTCCAAACCCTGCCTTGAATAGTCGTATGAACCGTGCAAGTGGATACCAAGACTGTCAGTTAGAATGCCTTTCAAGAAAGCCGCACAAAAAGAAACAAGGACAAGGAAGGCATCTGGCACATACTTGAGGGTTCCAGACTGGTCTCCAGCTGTGCGTCAAACTTCAACCAGTATCTGTTACTGGTCGGCTAGTTGCGCGTGGCCTGCTTGTTGAGGTCTAAATCACTCGCCCACACCGTGTTTGCTTTCAGCAGGATGCGTCTAGGGAGGGAAGAGGGGGGCAGGGATGTTCGGGGGCTTCGGGGAGGAAGGAAGAAACGTGGAAGGCTTTCTTGAACACGTTCATGCTTTGCAGCACTCAACCCTGCAGGGTAAAACTTTGGATGGGCAGGCACATTCGCCTTCAAACTAGCCTTCATGTGCCCACCGCAGCAGAAAGCTCCCACAAGTCCCACAATAGCCCGCGCTCCAGCGATTGCCCGTGCCTTGTGCATCTCATCGGTACTCTTCACCACAAAGGCCGAGAGGTCCTTGACATAAACCCCGCTGTTGGGGCTGTCCTGGCACGGAGCATCACAGCACGAGAGGCGTCTCTATGGCTGTGCCAACAGTGCAATCCGCGCAACTTCCAACAGCAAGCCCTGTCCCTGGCAACAAACATGGTGTGATGCTGAGACCTTTTCTGGAGAACCCATTTCCTGCAAACCTGTGCACAACATGTTGTGAGTGGGAGAGATTTCTGTCAACAAACATCTCGGCACCGGCCAGCTCGCCCGGATACTCCATTTTTGATAGAGTCTCGCTCTCGTCAGGGTCCGTCGATGAGACCCAAAAACACTGCACCCAAAGGTGCTAGGAAAACGAACATGCGTAGCGTTGCTTCCTGCGCCGATGAAGAAGCTCGGTGTCCGTGGCTGAATTTGTTCATGCGTACACACAACTATATCAGAAAAGCAGGCAAAACCCTGTTGGTGGAAGCTTCAAAACCAGTTGAACTATGGTTTGGAGCACGCTTCTCTTTCTCTCTCTCTCTCTCTCTCTTGCTCTCTTTCTCTCTTTCTCCCTTCCTCTCTTTCTCTCTTTCTCTCTTTCTCTCTTTCTCCCTTTCTCTCTTTCTCTCTTTCTCTCTTTCTCTCTTCTTTCTGTCTTTCTTTCTTCATTTCTTTCTTTCTTGCTAGCTTGCTTGCTTTCTTTCTTTCTTCCTTCTCTTATCTTCTCTTCTCTTCTCTTCTCTCTCTCTCTCTCTCTGTCTTTCTTTCTTTCTTTCTTTCTTTATGTTTGTCTTTCTTTCTTTCTTTCCTTCTTTATTTCTTTCTTTCTTTCTTTCCTTCCTTCCTTCCTTCCTTCCTTCCTTCTTTCTTTCTTTCTTTCTTTCTTTATTTCTCTCTTTCTTTCTTTCTCTCGTTCTTGCTTTCTCTCTTTCTCTCTTTCTCTCTTTCTCTCTTTCTCTCTTTCTCTCTTTCTCTCTTTCTCTCTTTCTCTCTTTCTCTCTTTCTCTCTTTCTCTCTTTCTCTCTTTCTCTCTTTCTCCCTTTCTCTCTTTCTCTCTCTCTCTCTCTCTCGCTCTATGGCTTTCTCTTTCTCTTACTCTCTGCACCATGCCTTCATTATTTCGCCTACCTTTCAATTGGTGCTCGTGTTACGTCACATGGAAGTTCCTTCTAAACTTCATTTGATGATGTCACATCGAGAGAGAGAGAGAGGGAGACAGACAAAGCACGTTTCTTCATTGATTCACGCGCAAAGTGTTCTGGTGTAAAGGAACCCAGGTCAGGAACCTGTATCCTGAGTTACCTCATGTGACTTGCAGGTGACCCCACTTATTATATTTACACACGGTCAGCTTTCCTACAGAGCCGTCTGCAACGAGCATGGACCTTCTGCAAGCACGTTGACAATGCTTAAATAATCAGCCAGAACGTAGTGTAGTTCAGTACAAAAGCTCCGAAACCTCCATAGGGACGAAAGAGTAACATGTTGAGGGTCGGAAGCTCCAAAGCCTGCACAAAAACAACTTGGACAACAATTGAACGCTTTGAAAGCAGCCCACTTCTGGATTCGCACTAAATCTGATGTGAGTTTCACTTATGTGAGCGGGTCACGAGAAACAGCTGCATTTATTCCATGCTTTGCAAAGATGTACCTTCATTTGCATTCCGGCAAAGCCGTCAAAACAAGTCCAAGCGGCACTCGCCAAACATCGGCACGCTTGAGGACAGAAGGGCCGCTATCCCTCCCAACTCATCGGCTAAGTCAGACAGAAGCAAGCACGGCCAAAAGGCCGTTCAAAGCGCAGCCTTGCATCGAGACGTGCCCGAGCTCATGCATCATGTATCCCTACATGGCCCCAAGATTGGGAGGTAAATCAAGTTTGCTTCGGGGTGAGGACCCAACTAGGCAGAGGAACCTCTAATGTAGATCATCTTGTCCATACCTAGTACGGCCCTCCGTATCAAAATATGTAATCTTCCCCAAGATGCACGTCTCCTTGGCCAAAGTTGATGCGTGCGGTTGCCAGCGGCCTGCAACTATTCCCCGATCAGTCCATTCAGGCCGGCAGGCTTCATGTGAACACGGACCCAGCGAGTGCGCAGTGCCCATCTGTCACAGAGCCCACTCGCACCCGGAAAATGAATGTGCAAGCGAATCAGCAGAGGACATGCCATCTGTGTTCATTGATTGGACAAGGAAGGAGCATCGGATGCCCAAACCGGCCTCCAACGTCTGTCATGGCCGAGAATGTGGAGGGATCCGCTTTTCAGTTCATAAGCACAACACAAAGCCTGCTGCTTGTGCATGCCAGGGGCTTAAAAGAATGTGCTGAGCCAACCATTTTGGATAGGTCCCTCCCCAAAACTCCGCCGAAATACACTTACGACCATCTGGAAGATTGGGAGTCCGCAATTGCTCACGAAGTAGGCCAAAGCTTTCCCAGCTTTCAGAACCTCGTCGATCGCAAACAGTGAAAATCAAAGGGATGCCTGTCACTTGCAAAGTTCGCCCGCTGTCTTCACATCCGACACCGACAGACTCAGTCGACGAATCTCTGTCCATGCTCTGCGAAAGTCTGACAGTTCTCTAGCATTTGACATTTGGCCATGCCAGGCAAGCACCGTTCCAGCGCCGTGGACAACTCTCCCATTCCTATCTCCAGCCCACACTAAGGGCGAGTAGCTAGCGCACAAAGGCCCCCAAAGAACCTGAGCAATTTGTGTAGTTCATTTTGGGAAGCGGTGGGGTGGGTGCAAACGCCATATTTAAGGGCAAATCACAGAACCATCAAAAAGCCCAATCCACTTAAGGCGGGCTCGCTTCCTGCTACTCGAAGCCCAGGAAAAGACGGGGGATGATTTGAGTTCTCAAAATCAAACAAAAAGTGTGTCTTTCCAGACGCACTCATTTGTCCGTTTGAAGGTGTTCTCAGGAAGAAATCGACAGTTCTGCCAAAATAGCGATGGCCAACGCGCCAATGACGGACTTGGTGCCTTGGTCGGCCACTGGCACACAGCATGCCCAGTGCACCTCCTGATCGGGTCACTGGGTGTACAGTGCTAGCTCTGCATAAAACATCCTTCCAGAAACTTGAGACCGGATTCTCCATGGAAGAATCTTGCTGCAAAACTTAGACACACGGCGCTCCGGAACGCCTCTGGAAATTTACAGCCAGAATGTCAGGCTTTTCACCTGGGTGGTGTCGCTTCCGGCGGAGTGGCTCGACTCGCTTTCCTGGCCTGCGCAAGTCGCCCGGAGAGTCTGCCAAGTCCCATGTGTCCTCCAAGAACCCCTGAAATAGGAAGCAGAAAAGCCGAGAAGCCGGCCGTTCCATGGGTTGAGAAACTGGTGACCTTTTGTGGACGCTATTTTGCCAGAGCCCTTTCCAGCGACACACAGTGCCGATGTCCACGAAAAAAGGCCCCAATGTCTGGCTGCCATCAGTGACGCTAGCCAACCAAAACATCCCAGGAAGCACATTCGGTTGGAAAATGAATACACACCACAGAGGGCCACTGATCTATGCGACATGTCGGCAAGTGGCAAAGCCAAGCCACGCAGGCACAAGCAAACAAGTAACAAGCCTAGCCAAACCAAACCGAGCCAACCCAAAACAACGCAGAAAGACACAACCAAACAATTCAAAACAAAACACACATAGAATCACGCTCTCACCAACACTGAAAACCCCAGCCGACACTGCAGATATGACACATCTCATGTTGCAAGAAACTGCCGGATATAAGTCTGGAATGGATTGAGATGAGCTGCGGCATTCCTCCTTGCCCGCGATTGGTACTGTCTTTTTCAGAGTTCCCGAGATTTCCCCTTTAAACACCACGCCAAACAGCAAACAGAAACTCACTTTCGAAACCAGCCTTTTGAGTGGAAATATCGGGAACCCTCTCAGGTGTCGCAAGAAAACCACCCCCCCCAATGTGATGCTCTCTGCGCTCACATGATGCACAGAGGTGCTAACTGGGCTGTGATTCTTCTTTTTCTGAGCGTACCCCTTTTGCAGTGGCGAGAAAAGGAAAACCGGACTCATGGTGGAGATTCAATTCCTATTTTAAGACTCGGTTCCAACTGTCCATTCCTTTTTGAGAAACCACTAAGGGGCCACGTTCGTAGGATAAGGGTTGAGGAAAAACAAAAACAAACAACGCAGGCTGCTCATCTCCTTTTGGCTTTCGACAAACAAACAGCACCCGTGGTCAGGATCTGATTGCAGACTTTTGGCGAGCCTCGCGAGTTTCGCAGAAACACATCCGTGGGGCGTGGAACAAAATCCAAAAGCTGGCAGCGCTTGCAACTGGAGACCCGAATGCAAAAGCGCCAAAGCTCAAAAGAGATTCGGCCCTTGCAGTTTGTCCAACCGCTTCTCTAGACTTATGACCAGACGGGCTCAGACAGGAGAGGTTTTAGCGGAACAAAAAAAAACTCAAAAAAACTCAGAAAAAACTCAGCCAAAAAGCTCAACTGAAAACACAGACTCAAAAAAAACACAAAAAATACACAGCAGGAGACTCAAAAAAAACACAAGAAAAACACAGCAGGAGACTCAAAAAAAACACAAGAAAAACACAGCAGGAGACTCAAAAAAAACACAAGAAAAACACAGCAGGAGACTCAAAAAAACACAAAAAATACACAGCAGGAGACTCAAACAAAAACACAAGAAAAACACAGCAGGAGACTCAAACTAAACACAACAAAAAGCACAGCAGGAGATTTGAGTTTTTTTTTGAGTTTTTTTTGAGTCTGTTTTGAGTTTTTTTGAGTCTGTTTTGAGTTTTTTTTGAGTTTTCTGCGGTTGTTTTTGCATTTTGCCCCTCCCCCACCCCCAGAACCCTCCCAGACCCCTGCTTGAGTTTTTTTTGAGTCTGTTTTGAGTTTTTTTTGAGTTTTTTTTGAGTCTGTTTTGAGTTTTTTTTGAGTCTGTTTTGAGTTTTTTTTGAGTTTTCTGCGGTTGTTTTTGCATTTTGCCCCTCCCCCACCCCCAGAACCCTCCCCAGACCCCTGCTTGAGTTTTTTTTGAGTTGTTTTGAGTTTTTTTTTTTTTTGAGTTT